CCATTACTTTCTCTATTAAATCCTTTTTAAGCAGCTGGCTATCAATATGATTCAAGTTTTTTCTTCCTCTTTTTCTCCTCCTAAGACTTAGATTAGGGTTTAGCATCATAGCGTTGTGCGATATTATCATTAACGGAATGAAAGATTCGAACCTCTAACCTTTTGGTCAATAGTATATGTCAATTCTTGATGGGTTTCTTTGTTTTGTTACTAACGGTTTAAGCTCGAGACCAATACTACCAAATATTGTTCGATTTAGCCCGTTACGTATCGTCGTTAGCCTCACGGTTTTAAAATGCATCTATTAAGGAGACATTTTCATACCCTTATAAGAAATGCTTCGTTCCCCTCTCCAACCGATATAGGATCTCACTATCAGTTGGAGATATGTTTTAAAATCGTGAGGCTAATGATGATATATAACAGGCTAAAGTAGACAATATCTATTAATCGTTGCCTCAGATTGTTACCGTTTAACTAGTTGAGACTCTTGGAACAAGTGGAGTAATCAGTTTTCAAGTAAGCGTATTATGGAACCCTAATTGTCCAATCAAACACAATGTTGGCATTTATAACATTGTTTGACAAATTGGCATCTTTATTTGTACCACTTTTTTGACAAACTTAAAGCTGCCCATGTGATTTCTTGTCCCAATTTCTCGTTCTTTTTCAATCGAGTCACCTTCTCTATAAACGACACGTCTATTAAAGAAAAGTTTTTATACCTTTATAAGCTTCCAACACCTCTTCTCGAACAAAGTACGCCTTCCCTTAATCAAGACTAGACTCCTTTGGAGGCTTAGTCATTTTTTACTGCATTCGAGGAGTCTTTTTTTTTAGAGTCCTTTGTTCGACATTTGAGGATTTACCAATCTATTGGCACGACTACGTTTAGGGCATGACTCTAATATCATGTTAGACGAACACGACTCTTCACAATAGTATGATATTGTCCACTTTGACGACTACGTTTAGGGCATGGCTTTGATACTATGTTAGACGAACACGACTCTCCACAATGGTATGATATTGTCCACATTGAGCCTAAGTTCTCATGGCTTTGCATTGGACTTCCCCAAAAGGCCTCCTAACAATGGAGAGAGTATTCTTTGTTTATAAAACTATGATCATTCCCTAAATTAGCAGATGTGAGACTTCTATCATCCGACAATAAGTAATATTGGATCTCACAATCCACCTTTTTGAGGTCCAGCATCCTCGTTGGCACATAGCTCGATGTCCGACTCTGATACTATTTGTAACCACACAAGGCACTGCTAGCTTGGGTTAGTAAGGGATTTTCACTCTTATGAGCCCGTAACCGATCTTTTTTTATATATTTTTTGAATTAAATTCATTTGAAAGTATTTTTGAATGGATAATTTTGAATTTTGGATATTTAACTTAATTTAAGAAAGTAAAAGCCACGTATTAGACACACGTGTAGGTGAAATGAGTGTACATTTTGGTGAGGCGGAACGTGTGGCAGAATAAAACGTCCACGTTGGTTAAAAATTGTGTTCATAAAAGCCCAATCCCTAAAGCCAAGAAAAGCCCACCGATTCATACCCCAATCCTACATGGGTCCAAAAATGGGGTCCTTCATCAGGTCCATTGCTTTGTCCATCTCAAACCCTCTGTTTCAACGCCGCCTTTCTTCTTCCTCCGCCGCCGCCGCATCTTACCTTTCCTACATGAGAAGGGTGGGTAGTAATGTAGAATCGGCGGCGAAAGCGAGGGAGACGACGGGAGGAGGGGCAGAAAGTAGAGAAGAGAGGGCGTATGATGCGGCGACAGGGAAGGCGGAGAAGGTGAAGGAGACGGTGATTGCAGAGGCAAATGAGAATGTGATGGACACTAGTGAGTATAGAAGCATGGAGGAAATGGGGAGTCTCAAAACATGCTCGTTTTGATTCTTCATGTTCATTATGTTCTTAGCTTTCTTGTTATGTGTTTGAATGTAGATTGGTGTTTGTACTTAAATATTGAATCCTTTGGTTATCAAATTTAGCATGCATAGCTTTGTTTTTGAAGGATTTCAAAACCCAGAAAGGGAGTGAAATTCATAGCTGAATCTATTTGGGTTCCCCCATACATGAAAGAAAAGCTCACAAGGAGCTTGGTTTAGTATACTATTATATTTTGACCCTTTATTATAGCCCTAGACCTTAGAGAGAAGAAGCTTAGCCACTCTTATTCTTTCTTTTCTAGGGCTTCGGAATCTTCTGCCCATCTTCTTCTTTACACTCTAATCTATAACGCTCGATGATTCAAACAATTGTCTCTATATAATGGGCTTGTGTATGCGGAATTTGATATCGAAATTTGAGAGAGTTTTGTGTGTCATTGTATTTCTGGAGTGACGTATTGGTGAGAGTCTTTGTAGTGTGATAGTGAGGTATTCACTCGTAACACTTTAATTATTAGTGATGAGTTGCTACTCATGGATTTAGGGAAACTTCTTCTCTTTGAACCACGTAAATAAATATCTTGGTGTCTCTTGGTGTAATTCTGTTCATTGGCATGGGTGTAATTCTGTTCATTGGTGTTAGTGAGTACATTTATTCAGCTTTTGGCGCACAACAAAAATGTAATCACACAACAATAAACGATACATTCTTAACTCAGAAACAAATGAAATTACTTTCTTCATTGGAGTGACAGACCTCATATCCAAGGTAACGCATTGAAACTTTCGAATTTTTCTGAAACTCTGGTTTTGACGCGATTCTCGGTCGAGTTTCATTCTTCTAGATTATCATTTTCAAATATTAGAACTTAATATCAACAATAACTCTAGGATCTTGAAGATAATCCAAGTCTAAATATCCACGATCTTACTTCGAGTTCTTGGCCGTTTCTTGACAGAATTGATCGATCCAAGTGCCTAGATCTACTATCCTCGTTCCAAGATGAATCGTTGCTCCTATTATCCTATTTCAACACGTCCCTTAAACATCCTTTCCAATAGTTAAAAGATAAAGCATTTGGTTGTAAAAAAAATCATCTTGGGACAGGCTTTATGATCACTCTAACTACACTTATTTTTTTTTTATTATTATTTTTTTTAATTTCTCCACATGACATTTTGAGCCCCCAAAAAGGACCAATTAGCAATTTTGTAAAGAAAAAAAAATTGCATTTAATGCACTCAAGTTTTATAATTACTAAATTGAGTGCTGCTTTTCTCTGCCAACCACATAAGCAAGAATAATGTTATGATAAATAAACAAGAGAGGTACTTTCATAAAACTTTATACTAAATTAAAATCACTATTTATTCACCCCTAACCACTTGATTTTAAATAAAGAGTATTAACCAAGCCAAATCAATTAAACTACTATGTTGTTGAATTATAATGGGTAAATTACAAATTTAATCCTCGGTAAAAAAATCCTATGAAATTGAAACTCGTGTGGATCCTGATTTTGTATATGTCAGTGACTAGAGATGTCCACATGTTCACAGGGCAAGGTGAGACCTCGTCCATCTTCTAATCTCCTATTTCAATCTACATTCTTGTGAAATTTTCTATTTATTTTCATGAAATTGAAACAAAGATTTCCCGCGAAAAATTTGTGAGGATCCAATTTTCTGTGATATATATATATATTTACACATGTGTCATATAATTTTTTAATAGATAATTTCTATTAAAAAATGTAAAGAATAATATTTCATAAACAAAAATATAATATAATGTTCTATCAGTACAATTTTTAAGAGGGGACGTGTGATGTCCCACGTTGGTTGGGGAGGAGAACAAAACATCATTTATAAGGGTGTGAAAACCTTTCCCTAGCAGACGCGTTTTAAACCTTTGAAGGGAAGCTCGAAAGGGAAAGCTCAAATAAGACAATATCTGCTAACGGTGGATCTGAGTCGTTACAGGACGAGATAGGTTTCCGTGGGTTAAATGAACATCTCGTAAATTATTGGAAGTGTGCATATGCAGGGTGGAACGTTTTAGATCCTTTTTCGGGAAAAAGAAATGAATTTGGAGAGGATAGGAATGGTCCCTAAGGCATAGGGTGTGGTGACGATATTGATTAGGGTTGAAGCTTGGGGAAGGCATATGGGAGACAAACTTATATTTGAAACTCTTGCTTTGTCCCATTGTTTATGCAAGTAATGAAACTGAACCCAATTATTGTATGAAGTCTTTGAAGTGAGGGTTTCCAAGCCTCATTCATTGGGTTTGTAAAAGACCCAACACTCCAATATGCCATTACTTGAGTGCCCTTGGTCCACTTCTCCTCTCCTCTAACCCCTTAAACTAAAGCCCTCTCGCCCTTTAAGCTTGCTTTACTTTGGTGTTTATTAAAAGAGGGAATTTTATTGGGAGTTGTGTACTTAGTGAAACAAACATGTGGGTCAAACATTAAAGCTATATTGGATTCTTTTTCTAATATGTTTTCATTCGTAACCGTCATATCCATCTAATTCTCCACTACCTCCCACCGCTAATGTATGTTGTCCGCTTTAATCTGTTATGTGAGGGTCTAGCTATACTTTGACCAATGTCAGTGACTAGCTTTGTTGGCCATGAAGGGAAATGGATTTGGAGCTGTAACGACCTTGGATTGTGAGATTAAATAGAAACTCGAGTATTCAAGTCTGTCACACGATTGTCCTGAACTTACCTCTCAAAATCTATTTTCTCAATGCTCGATAAACTCGATGTTGTAAACCGTCGTCAAAGATGAGAGAAAGATGATTGATTGGGAAGAGTTTGACCTAGTGATGACTCATCATCAAAACTTCTTATAGACATATATTAGACTTCTTGTCTCCCCTTCCCCACCACTCATCCTCATTGCTTCCTCTTTAAACCCTCACTTTGGCCACCACATCTCCATCATTCACATCACTATCTTCTCATTCAACGCTCTAGATCCTTCCACGTGTACCCTCTCCATCCTCCTCACCGCATCGGATCTCTACCCCTTCCCAATATATATATATATATATATCACGCATCTTGTGTGCAAACCAAATTCATGCAAACCAGATGAACTCATAGAAAAGAAAAATCAAAATTAATTCACAATTTTACCCTTACCAATGGAGTCTCGCCGGGAACAGAGCTCCTCCGGCGAGATCTTCTCGTTCCCGAGCACTCCGGTTCAGGATCAGGATCAGGATTCCGATTTCGAATTCGGATCCATTACTCCAGATTCTCCTTCCACTTTCAACAACTCGCCGGCGGATCATCTGTTCGTGAACGGTCGTCTTTTGCCTCACTCTTTTCCGCCGCAACCGATTGGTGTTTACGCTGTCGATCGGACGAGTAGCGTCGGGAGTAAGGACTCGATCATGTCGTCGCGGAGTAATAGCACTAATAGTAGGAGCAGTAGCAGTTGCGGTAGCAGTACTAGCGCGAGGACGAGTTCGAGCGAAAGTAATAATGTCGACAGATCCTCCAGATTCTCTTCGCATCAGAAGAAATCTCCGAAATCTTCTGTTTCCGCTCAAGTGTACGGATCGTCTCAGAGATGGCAGTTCATCGCGTCGGTTCCGGTTCCGACGACGCTGAGCCGGGAGAATTCGAGGAGGAAGAAGGCCGTGGAGAAAATTGGGGGAAAATCGGATTTGAGGCGGAACAAAAAGCGAATAGAGAAGACGACGGCGAGGAAGAAGAAGAAGAAGAAGAAGAAGAAGAAGAAGAATATGTGGTTCGGAAGGAAGGTTTTCCGGTGGATTATTCTGGTTTGTAAAGAATGCCATGCGATCGAACCATCGAGAAAGGATGAGATTGTGATGAGGAAGACGAAATTGACGAAACCGAAGAGTTATTGAATTATTGATATGAATTTATTTATTTAATTTCTTGAGGATTATGGCTGTTTTGCTCGCTGATTCATCCGGTTTTCATCTCTTGATTTCTGGAATTTTCTTTTCTGCATTGTTGTTCTTGGCGTTTGTTCAAATGATCTGATGATCTCTCCATCTCTCTGCTTTGGTAATGATGTTGATGATGAGTTTATGGAATGTGATTTCAAGGCTTAATGAATCGGTTTGGAATCAATTACGAAATCATTCCAAAATAATAATCTCATGTTTTTTAATGTTGTATTTCAGAGAGATCGATGAGTTTACAATCCAACAATACCAAAATTTCTTAGGAACACTATTTAATTTCTTGGTAATGATTGAACCCTCTCATCGTTTTAGAAAATGAAATTTTTTTATGTTTTTCATCATATCTGAAATTTTAATATTGCAAAAATTAATATTTCACTTTATAAATTAAATATATTTTTGTCAAATTATATATTAAAAATAATAGTTAATTGGATCCAAAATATATTTTCATGTTGAATTGTAATACTATTTCAAGTTGATTGGGTGTCATATTCATCCCACAGAAGAAAAAAAAATGTCAAACTCACCTGTAAATGGATCCAAATTTGTTGTTTTAAAAAAATTCAACTTAGCCTAAACCTACAAAATTTAACTGAACTCAATTCTTATGGTTTAGATTAGGTAGTCGTGATTGATTGGATTCTATGTCATTTAAACACTAGTAGGCTAAAAATTATTAACTAAGTTTCATGTTATTTTTCTATATCCATGAGCTTTCAAGCAAACGTATTCACGCTCGAACTAATTTTATTAAATAATGATACGAAGATAATCAGTAAGTCAACCTCTTCAAATACTCAAGCCACTTGCTACCTTTATTTCATATTAAAGCAAGACATTCAGGTACGGCAGACGACATATCGCAACTCGAGGTCATGACATATACATAAGGTAGTCGCATTTATTTTCTTAATCTTAGGCTAGAATAGGATGTTTTTAATTTAAACGTTTATTTATTTTTTTGTTGTGTCGCTTTAAAAATATTTTCAAAACACGTAAGTCCATACCTATGTTTTAAGCAGAAGGTTATGTTTTTATAAAAGTTTAAATGAAGTATTTTCGCATTCATGTTTATGATATATATACAGTAGCGATCTTAAACTAAGTAAAAAATTTCGGGTTGTTACAGTTGGTATTAGAACCAGACTCTGGATGATGTGCCACTCTTCTCGCTGTTCCCCAAGGGGGTAGACACAAGGCGGTGTGCTAGTAAGGATGTTGGGCCCCGAAGAGAGGTGAATTTAGTAGCAGTCCCACATTGATTGGAGAAAGGGACGCGGTCCCAAAGGGGGTGGATTGTGATGTCCCACATTAGTTGGGGAGGAGAACAAAACATCATTTATAATGATGTGGAAACCTTCCCCTAGAAGACGCGTTTTAATGCACAAAAAAGACAATATCTCCTAATGGTGGATCTAGGTCATTATAATCTACGACTGAACACTAAAAACATTTTTGCTCCCAAAAAAAAAAAAAAACAAACAAACAAATTCCTTCAAAATCAAACTTGAAAGTCCATTAACATTGCAATCTCAAATTTTGGGCATTAAATCTCTTTGTTTTTTTAAAAATAAATAAGATATTTTTCATGAAGAACTTGAAGGAGAAGCTTCCATTAGAGAGGGCTACTGGTAGAATATAGGTTTAGGACCCATCAAAATTACTGATGTTGTCTGTTCTTTTTTTTTTTTTTTTTTTTTTTTTTTTTTTTTTTTTTTTTTTT